CCCGACCCTTCGCTGCCTGCAGGGACTAACCCGAACCCTTACCACAAAGGATGCGGGTGTTGAAGGCTCATACTGTGGTTCAGCCACCTGAGGTATACACACATGCAAACTTCTGCTTTACCAGCTGCTAAGGAACCACTCACTGGGCCTCAGAACCACTTGGACTCCCATATTCTGCTGAGTCTCTTGGGATCTGCAGACTCTGGGCTACACTGCTCTGACCCCAGTGTTGCTGTTCCCCGACAGCCACCCGGGGGCTGGCCACACAGCCCGCTCTGCAGTTCCGGCGTCCCTCCTGCCTGGCCCTGTGCCTGGTACCTGGACATTTAGCAAACATCTGCTTCTGTACATACTTCTCTGGGAACGGCCTGCTGACCATTGCAGTGAGTGGACACAGGACCAGTGCTGGCCTCTTCACCACGCACTTGGCTCTCAGGACTCCTTTGCTGTTTAGCGGCTGTTGCTCGGGGAGAACTTTGCCAGTGAGCTGCAGTTCTCAAAGTCAAGGCAAGTGCTGGAAGGCCACCAGTCTATTTGACACCTCAGCAGCGACCTCTCTGTGAGTCCTCCAGAAAGAGCAAGCTGTGATGGTATCAGAACTGGCTGAGAAGATTCAGCTGGGGCCCTGAGGGCCTTGAAGTAGACAAGGCAGTCCCACGGGCAGGTGCAGAGCAGGAAGAAGGAATCCTGGTGGATGTGGGCCAGGATTGCTACACTTGAATGTGGAGCCTGCACACCCTCCCAGCCCGCCTCCAGCTGACATCCCCAGTGCGTTCTCTTCAGAGCTCGGAGGTGTCCACAGAGCCCAGGGCTGCTCATGGCCATGGGGCAGGGCCTGTACTGTTCCTCCTACAGCTAATGCCGCAGGGGGCAGCCTGGAAGATGGCAGGTTTATCAGAGGAGAGTAGAGATTGGCTATTTCCATCTCTAAGAAGGGGTTTTAAGGGTTGCCCAGCAAACGCAGATCCCATCCTTTAGGCTGCGAGAGCAAGGTGCTAGGGATCTGACATGGAGACAACAGGAAAGGTGTGTGCTCAGAGAGCCTGAAAGTCCTTTGCACAAAAGATGCTCATTTCTTTCTCTCGTTAAATTCTCCAGAATAGTTCTCTACCTCCTCCCCTTTTCTGAAACAAAAACAGAGACTTTTTGCTAAGGACTAAAGATGGGTCGAAACTCAAATAAAGCTGCTGCATTTGCCCAAAGCCTGTGGAGAAGCCAGTGACAGCAGTGAGGCTGTTGGAGTGGCCTGTGCCTGGCTCCCAGGGGGCATTGCGTGTCCTTTACAAAGCCAGCTGGGGCACAGAGGAGGGGTGAGGCATGCCTGAGTCTGTGGGGTGAAGACTGAGGTGCAGGGTTTCATCACTGATGTGGCTGTCTCAGACTCGGCGTCAGCTTCTCACAAGAGGCTTTCTAGATATACGGCTACTTTCTCTTAATTCAGTGAGAAGGAAGATTTGTACTAATAGTGTTTGGACAGGATATCATGTCTGCATCTTGTACTAAGAATAGCTACTATGAAGAAAACAATATGCAATGTATTAATTATTGAAACTGTCCTACTAACCTGTTTTGAAACTGTCTCATTGCTATTTCTCAATAAAATTAATTTTTTAAAAAGAGGCTTTCTCCTTTCGTTGATGCTCACAGGCACTGAAAGAGAAGGTGGATCTTTTTTAAATGCTAAAACTTCTGTTTTAAACAACCTCTGACCTGCCTTCCCTGAGGCAGCTCCCAGAACGTGAAGGAGGGCAGCCCTGCTTGCTGCTATCGTGACCCAAGTGCCAAATTCAAGGGCTCAGAATCCAAGCAAATCCACGGCTTTCTGGAACCTCAGAGCTGCAACTGTGAGACGTTTATGCCAAGTGTTTTTGACAGCCTGCCTTTCTACTGATAAAGTAGAACAACACGGCAGAGCACGTTGCTTCTGAGAAGGTCCGGATGCTCACAGCACCAAAACAACTGCAGTAATCTGTACTTAGGTCTCACCTGAAGCCAAAATAGCTGAAAGCGCCCTTAGGAGCTGTGCTGGAGAGCTTCCAGCCGTCCATCCACACCAGCCCGCTCTGCTCTGCCCTTTTCCTCCGCTGCCCTGCCCTGCCCTGCCCTGCCCATGTGCCCCAGGAAACTAGCTCCAGGTGGCTGCAAGGCCTGGGCTCCAGAGCAAAGGAGCCAGCGGGAAGTATGAGCAGGAAACTGGAGGGTGGAGGAGCACGGAGTAGGGTCGCCCGCTCCCTGGCTCCCTTTCTGTTGACCCGTGGTGGCCGTGACCAAATGTCACAGCTTCTACCGGAACACAGCTCTCCCTGGGTTCCAGTTAACTGTTCTCCGTGCCCCTAGCACCTTGCAGATACTAATCAAGGTTGGTTCACCAGTTAAACTCTTCAATCCCTTCTTAAATGTTTTATTTCCTGCCAAACCCTAACATAACTTACACAGAGAACAAAATCTTAGGCAGTAAGTGAGAATATTGGTTATTTAATAGTTAAACTATAGCAATTTTCAGCGTTTTACCCTATCTTATTTGGTCCTTATAGCAATCTATAAAGGAGGTAGGACAGTAGTACTAATTCAAAATTATTAGCTGGTTGCAATGGAACATGCCTGTGGTGCCGGCTATTGCACAGGCTGAGGCAGGAGGGTCGCTTGAGTCCGGGAGTTAGGGAGGAGTCCAGGCAATGTGATGAAACTCAGACGCAACATAAAACACTTTAAAGGGTGGGCCAGATAGCTCAGCAGACTAAAGAGCCTTTTGAGGCAGGCGCAGGGACCAGGGTTCAATCCCCAGCCTGCCATGCTGTGCCATGCTGGCCCTGCCTCTGGGGCACGCTGAGACTATGACTGAGACTGGGCACGTGGCACTAACCTGCAATATCAGTGCTTGGGAGGCTGAAATAGGAGGCTCACTATGAGTCTGATCTATCTAGTGAGATCCTGTAGACTCTGTACTGAATATACTTTTTAAAAAATTAAAAACTTAGAGTAGCATCTTAAAGATAAAGCAGGGTGTGCACTAGGGCACAGTGCAGCAGTAGAGCATGTGCTAACGTGCACAGAGCCCTGGCTTCCCCTACTTAGGAGCTATTACAGTACCGCGAGTGTGCTCTCTTTAGAGGCCACACTCCCAGGCGGCACGCACAGCCCTGCGGGCCAGAACAGAGGTGACCTGGTGACCGGGAAGTCTGCTCAAGCTCCTTTAGCTGAAAAATCTTCAGGGCCTTGAAGGGAGGGCACCAGAGCCTGCGCGAGCCCCAGGCCGGAGCGCAGATGGTGAACAGCGGCGACCGCTAATTCCCAGTTCCCTTAAAGGCGAGGAGGGTACAGGCTATCACTGTGCATTCAGTTTTCATTCTGAGTGATGGTAGTTCTGAAACTGAAAACGTAAACGAGAACGTGGTTACAGAATTAAGTCAGAATTTAAACAGTTGGCAGCTTGGCTTTTGTGGTGTAGGCTGGAAGTCAGTGGTTGCTTTCAGTGGAAGAAAAATACTGTCTCTTGCTGAGGATACTGGGGAAGACTAGATAGAAGGCAGTGCTCTGATGTCAGCAGGAACCTTGCAGTTCTAACTTTGCTCTTAAGGAAAACAAACTGACCTTACCCGACTGGAAACGCGAAAGGACGCACACAGTACGAGCACACACTCTGGGACACCTTGCCGGAGGGGGCTGCACAGCCTACTGAGTCCAGAGGCCAGGGTGCACCCCAGCGCCCCAAGTGCTGGGCTTCTGGGCCTCTGAGCCCATGTCCCCCTGTGAACACTGACCACCGCTGTCCACCTTCCAACCACCAGCCACATAAAGCCACAGGGCCTGCCAGGGAAACAGGCAGCCAAATATTGGTTCTCTACTTTGCCACTTCCCAAATAAGTTAGCTCGCTAAAACCCCAGGATGTCTAAGGACCCCCTGGGTCCTGGGGCTTAGAAGACCATCTTCGTTCTCAGCCACATGATGAACCTCTAGTCGCAGCTCACTATGTTCACTGGTTGTCGTCACCTCTCGGCAAGCCCTTCACACAGGAAGTTATTGAAAGCCCTACGAGGAAGCCTACCTGCAAGGGCTCGAGAACTGACTCGTTCTCTAGACGTTCTAGGAGTTCCTGGGGAAGGAGGAGCCCTGGAGTGGAACCTGACCCTTAATGAGTGCCTGCTGTTCTTGTGCTGTTTGACTCAAACACTTCAGCCTCTGTTTACGTGGCTTTTACCTTGTGTTTAGTTGAGACTGGGATCTCAGAAGACTAAGCAAAGGACCCTCTTGACCTTGGTGGCCCTTCTGCTCCTCCACCAGTCTGACCAGTGGAAAAGAGGGAATTCAGAAGATCGTTTCCTTCTGGGCTTGGTGATATGTGCCCGCAACCCCAGCACTCTGAAGGCCGCGGCAGAAGGATCACCATGAGTTTGAGGCCAGCCTGGGCTACAAAGTAAAACCCTGTCTCAAATAGAAAAAAAAAAGATTGTTTTCTGTTTGAAGCCTATGAAAAGAGCCTTAGGTCAGTGATGAACTAGAAATGTCACTACCACATGACTAGGGGCATTGGGTCATGACCACAGAACAAACCAAGTCTAAGGCAGCCACCACTGTTTTAACTTAGATCTAAAATTTTGGCGGGAAACAGCTCAGCAGCATAGGCCCCTGCCTGGCAAGCAGAAGGTTGGGCATTCTATCCCCAGCACCAGGAAACACATACATACATATATACATACGTACATACACAATGCCTCCCCCAGCCTTGTGTGCAGAAGGGAGGCCTGGTCAGGACAAGCAAGTCACTAGGGCTGTGACCAAGAAGGCGCTTGCTTGTCCCCAGCTGCTCCCTTCTCTGCTGCCTCCCAGATGCTTCAGGATGATCACCGCTCCCCAGCCACACACATCTATGAGGCCTCTTCTACTTTGGAACCAACTTACCGTGGACTGAGTCCTCTGAAAACCATGATCCGAAACAAACCTTTCCTCCATTAAAAAAGCTTTTATCTGCACTCGGTTTTTGAGTACCATGGTGATTTACCTGACAGAATCAGGAGCTCAATGATCTCTGCGTCACCCAGAAATGCTGCCACATGAAGGGGAGTTCGTTTCTCAGAATCCTAAAACAAAAAATCAAAAATAATATGACAGGTCAGTGGCATCCCAGGTGCCTTTGGTAGACATAGACAGACTTCGGTAGACATGGACTCACTCTGAGGCGGATATATGTGGGACAAGCTTGAAGGCCAAAGGCCTACAGAGTAGAGTTCAGGTTGTGCCTCTCCTTAGCACCCTAAACACGTGCACAGGACCCCACTTTCTGGTCTGTGGACAACATCTGCCCACCTGCCTCCTTCACCAAAGCCCAGTGGAGTGAAACATGGACCACCATGCACTGGTTGAGGCCTTTCAATTTATTTTCAAATCTTCAGTATGGTTAAAAAATCTTTTCAGGACTACCTTAGCAATATACTTCAGTGTTTCCAAAGATCTGCTTACTTTCTAAGAGAACATAGTGAAATTGTTTATGAGGACATTAAATGTAAATACAGTCATTTTCTTTCTATTCTCACCAGCTGTTGTCTAGACCATACCGCACCCATGCAGTGATTTTTGAGTGCCTACTCTGTGTCAGAACAAAATTTGGGGCAGAGGGGTGACCACAATAGGCCCAATCCATGTGCTCATGAAACTGACATTCCACCAGGATGCAATTAGTCAGATTAAACAAAGAAGATAATGTCGTAACGGTAACGGGAGCAGACCACCAAGGAGATATAGCAACTGTGAACATATGCGCACCCAAGGCCCGCGCAGCCAACTTCGTAAAACAAACGCTACTCACCCCAAAGGCAAGCGCAATTCTCAGTGCAGTGAGAGTGGGTGAGTTCCACTCCCACCGATACATAATCCATCCAGAGCCCCCCCAAAATTAACAGAGAAATATCAAAGTTACACCACACCGTAGATCAAGCAAACTTAACAGAAGTCTGAGGAACTTTCCACTAACAACTACAGGTTACACATTCTTCTTAGCACCTCATGGAATGTTCTCCAAAATAAGTCACATTTTAGGTCATAAGGCAAGGCCTAACAAATACAAAAATTGAAGTAATTTCTTCCATCTTTTCATATCACAATAGAATGAAACTACAAATCAACAGCAAGAGAAACCACAAAAGTTATACAACACATGGATATTAAATAATTCACTTTTGAATAATCAATGGGTCATTGAAGAAATCAGACAGAAAAATTTAAAATTCCTAGAATCAAATGAAGATGGAATTACAACATACAAGAATCTATGGGAGACAGCAAAGACAGCTCCAAGAGGGAAGTTTATAGCTGTGAATTCCTACATTGAAAACCAGAGAGGCCGCAGATCATTAATTTAATGATGCATTTCAAGGTCTTAGAAAAACAAGACCAAATCAAAACCAAACCCAACAGAAAGAAACAATAAAGATTAGAACTAAATTAATTATGTAGATAGCAAGGAAGAATACACAAGATAAACAAAGCAAAGAATTGGTTCTTGGAAAGATAAGCGAGATTAAAAAATCTTTAGCCAGAAAGAGAGAGACAGAGACAGAGAGAGAGAGAGAGAGAGAGAGAGAGAGAGA